AGGCGCTCCAATCTCGCAGGGTAGCTGAGATGCCGAAGTGCAGGCACCAGCTTGGTGGCCCTCCTTTGAACATTTTCAACCAACTGACAGTCCCTAGCATATCTCGGGACCAGATGGGGTGACAGTACTCCAGATGGGGAAGCACTTCACTCCTGAAGATCGTCACGAGGACGGACCGTCTAGATATCTGAACGACCTTCTTATAAGACCCAATAATTTATTTGCCTGATTTACCTTCTTCTCACAATGGCCCGAGAACTTCAGCTCATTGTCAACATACACACCTAGGTCCTTCTCACACAGTCTCAACTAGTACATTTTCTTCATCCCGTTGGGACATATGGTACGCCTCCTTACCGTTGGTACGCCCCAGGTGCATCCTCTACACTTCGTGACATTGAATCTCAGCAGCCATTCCTTCGACCATTCCTGGAGCCCACAGGGGTCCTTCTGCAGCTCTTCACAGTCCGCTTGGTTCTTAATTTCCCGAAATAACTTGGCGTCATCGGCAAACATTTGTATGGAGGAGTGTACAACGTCAGCATATCATTTATGAAACAAACAAACAACAGCGGGCCCAATACACTACCCTGCGGTACCCCACTTGTTACAGGTACAGATGACGATTTCGTGCCATTAATCACCACACACTGCTTGCGGTCATGTAGAAAGTCTTCTATGTTGGCAAGTACTGGCTCTGTTATGCACGGCTGGCAAGTACTAAACATGTATGGACTGTTAGCAAGTACTGGCTGTTATGGACTGTTGGCAAGTACTAAACATGTATGGACTGTTAGCAAGTACTGGTTGTTATGGACTGTTGGCAAGTACTAAACATTATGGACTGTTAGCAAGTACTGGCTTGTTATGCACGGCTGGCAAGTACTAAACATGTATGGACTGTTAGCAAGTACTGGTTGTTATGGACTGTTGGCAAGTACTAAAACATGGACTGGGTTAGCAAGTACTGGCTGTTATGGACTGTTGGCAAGTACTAAAACATGTATGGACTGTTAGCAAGTACTCGGCTGTTATGGATCATTGGCAAGTACTAAACATGTATGGACTGTTGGGCAAGTACTGGCTGTTATGGACTGTTGGCAAGTACTAAACATGTATGGACTGGGTTGGCAAGTACTGGCTGTTATGGACCGTTGGCAAGTACTGGCTGTTATGACTGCTGCGTACTAAACATGTATGGACTGTTGCGTACTGGCTGTTGCGGACTGTTGGCAGTACTAAACATGTATGGACTGTTAGGCAAGTACTGGCTGTTATGGACTGTTGGCAGTACTAAACATGTATGGACTGTTAGCAAGTACTGGCTGTTATGGACTGTTGGCAAGTACTAAACATGTATGGACTGTTAGCAAGTACTGGCCGTTGCGGACTGCTGGCAAGTACTAAACATGTATGGACTGCTGGCAAGTACTGGCTGTTATTGCGGACTGTTGGCAAGTACTGGCTGTTATGGACTGTTGGCAAGTACTACAAATATGTATGGACTGTTGGCAAGTACTGGCTGTTATGGACTGTTGGCAAGTACTGGCTGTTATGGACTGCTGGCAAGTACTGGCTGTTATGGACTGTTAGCAAGTACTGGCTGTTATGGACTGTTGGCAAGTACTGGCTGGGTGCTATGGACTGTTGGCAAGTACTAAACATGTATGGACTGTTAGCAAGTACTGGCTGTTATGGACTGTTGGCAAGTACTCAAACATGTATGGACTGTTAGCAAGTACTGGCTGTTGCACTGTTGGCAAGTACTAACATGTATGGACTAGCAAGTACTGGCTGTTATGGACTGTTGGCAAGTACTGGCTGTTATGGACTGCTGGCAAGTACTCAAACATGTATGGACCGTTAGCAAGTACTGGCTGTTATGGACTGCTGGCAAGTACTCAAACATGTATGGACTGTTGGCAAGTACTGGCTGTTATATGGACTGTTAAGCAGTACTGGCTGTTATGGACTGCTGGCAAGTACTAAACACATGGACTGTTGGCAAGTACTGGCTGTTATGGATCGTTGGCAAGTACTGGCTGTTGGCGGACTGTTGGCGTACTAAACATGTATGTGGACTGTTAGCAAGTACTGGCTGTTGCGGACTGTTGGCAAGTACTGGCTGTTATGGACTGTTGGCAAGTACTAAACATGTATGGACTGTTAGCAAGTACTGGCTGTTATGGACTGTTGGCAAGTACTAAACATGTATGGACTTCGTTAGCAAGTACTGGCTCTGTTATGCACTGTTGGCAAGTACTAAACATGTATGGACTGGCTAGCAAGTACTGGCTGTTATGGACTGTTGGCAAGTATCACTAAACATGTATGGACTGTTAGCAAGTACTGGCTGTTATGGACTGTTGGCAAGTACTTCAAACATGTATGGACTGTTGGCAAGTACTGGCTGTTATGGACTGCTGGCAAGTACTGGCTGTTATGGACTGCTGGCAAGTACTAAACATGATGGACTGTTGGCAAGTACTGGCTGTTATGCACCGTTGGCAAGTACTGGCTTGTTATGGACTGTTGGCAAGTACTAAACATGTATGGACTGTTAGCAAGTACTGGCTGTTATGGACTGTTGGCAAGTACTGGCTGTTATGGACTGTCGGCAAGTACTAAACATGTATGGACTGGTGCCAGTGCACCGGCTGTTATGGACTGTTGGCAAGTACTAAACATGTATGGACTGTTAGCAAGTACTGGCTGTTATGCACTGTTGGCAAGTACTAAACATGTATGGACTGTTAGCAAGTACTGGCTGTTATGGACTGCTGGCAAGTACTGGCTGTTATGGACTGTTGGCAAGTACTAAACATGTATGGACTGTTAGCAAGTACTGGCTGTTATGGACTGCTGGCAAGTACTAAACACGGCGGACTGTTGGCAAGTACTGGCTGTTATGGATCGTTGGCAAGTACTGGCTGTTATGGACTGCTGGCAAGTACTAAACATGGCGGACTGTCAAGGCACTGGCTGTTATGGACTGTTGGCAAGTACTGGCTGTTATGGACTGTTGGCAAGTACTCAAACATGTGGCGGACTGTTGGGGCAAGTACTGGCTGTTATGGACTGCTGGCAAAGTACTGGCTGTTATGGACTGTTGGCAAGTACTAAACATGTATGGACTGTTAGCAAGTACTGGCTGTTATGGACTTGTTGGCAAGTACTAAACATGTATGGACTGTTGGCAAGTACTGGCTGTTGCGGACTGTTGGCAAGTACTAAACATGGCGGACTGTTGGCAAGTACTAAACATGTATGGACTGCTAGCAAGTACTGGCTGTTATGGACTGTTGGCAAGTACTAAACATGTATGACTGTTAGCAAGTACTGGCTGTTATGGACTGCTGGCAAGTACTAAACATGTATGGACTGTTGGCAAGTACTGGCTGTTATGGACTGCTGCGTAAGTACTAAACATGTATGGACTGTTAGCAAGTACTGGCTGTTATGGATCAAGTTGGCAAGTACTAAAACATGTATGGACTGTTAGCAAGTACTGGCTGTTATGACCGTTGGCAAGTACTAAACATGTATGGACTGTTGGCAAGTACTGGCTCTAGTTATGTACCTGCTGGCAAGTACTAAACACATGTATGGACTGTTAGCAAGTACTGGCTGTTATGGACTGTTGGCAAGTACTAAACATGTATGGACTGTTGCGCAATTGCTCTTGTTATGGACTGTTGGCAAGTACTAAACATGTAGCGGACTGTTGGCAAGTACTGGCTCTGCTATGCACGGCTGGCAAGTACTAAACATGTATGGACTGTTAGCAAGTACTGGCTCTGTTATGCACTGTTGGCAAGTACTAAACATGTATGGACTGTTGGCAAGTACTGGCTCTGTTATGGACTGTTGGCAAGTACTAAACATGTATGGACTGTTGGCAAGTACTGGCTCTGTTATGGACTGTTGGCAAGTACTAAACATGTATGGACTATTAGTAAGTACTGGCTCTGTTATGCACTGTTGGCAAGTACTAAACATGTATGGACTGTTGGCAAGTACTGGCTCTGTTATGGACTGTTGGCAAGTACTGGCTCTGTTATGGACTGTTGGCAAGTACTAAACATGTATGGACTGTTGGCAAGTACTGGCTGTTATGCACTGTTGGCAAGTACTGGCTGTTATGGACTGTTGGCAAGTACTGGCTGTTATACTGTTGGCAAGACTGTATGGACTGGCAAGTACTGGCTGTTATGGACTGTTGGCAAGTACTGGCTGTTATGCACTGTTGGCAAGTACTGGCTCCATAACGTATCTGCACCCCACTAAACAATGAAGTGTAAAGATGTATACATACCATAGATGGAACCTTTGCATGCTATAAGGTAGTCGTCTCAGCAATTGTTTATCTTGTCTGTATATTTCCACCCAGCAGCAATCACATAATCACAAGATTTGGGTTAAAAACAACGTCAGACTTTTGACAGTTGCCACAAGAAAGGGAGCACCTCTCTTGAATGCATTACAGTAACACTCTGGGGTGGATGAGGCAGTCCCTGTGAGGTGCAGCAAGTTAAGCCCTCTAAGATATACCATCATCCACCTAGGGGTTAAGAAGCTCTGGATTGTGACTACATTGGTTGTATGTTACCTGTACAGTCTATTTATTGTACTGTATATCTGCATTGTCTATTTACAGTACAAGCTGAACTGTATACTGTACCTGCTTTGAGTATATACAGTATATACTGGATGGTAGTTCAGTATATCTGCATTGTCTATATGCATCTGAACTGTACAGTATATCTGCACTGCTTATACTGTATATATACTGAACTGTGCAGTATACTGTAAAGTGCATTGTCTGTATACATACATGCTGAAGTGCACATCTGCTTAGAATATAGTAAAAACTTGAACTATGTCCCCACATTTACTATATACTGTACATACAATACTAAATAATTAACACACTTGTTTGATCATATTACTGACTAATACTAACCTACCTATTCTCAAAGGAAAACTAATACAAAACCCAATAAGATGGTGGTAACTTTTGTTTATTTTAGCCAGAAACAAATAACCAGATATTCACAGCACCGTACATTACCATTACATCACACAAGATACATTCAACATGCTAAATGAATCTGGAAGCCCCATACCAACGTACATAATGTATCCTGATATTGATTACACCAATTAGATCATGATATATACCTGGCCTGAAATAGTTCAATTAAATATCAACAATACTATGGATAGTTAATAAGCTATTGTGTTTTTTCAAGATCCAATTTACCAACATGTGATTCAGGTCATCGATATTTTTGTGTTTTTATTTCTATGATGAGTGTGGTAATGGTACAGTGCAGTATATGTAGAGAATAGTTACAGTGTTCTATCTAGGAAATGGATTAAATTATCTTGATATAGTGAGGAAAAAAAGTGTGAATTGTCATCTTGTAAATAATATCAAAGCCCATTATTCATTGTAAAATTATTAAGAAGTATAACAGTAATTTTAAGGTTAACCGTAAAAAAAAAATCATCAACAAGTACAAAAGAATAAACACGTCTACTAAATCAACTTCAATAACAATACCACTTCACATTCTGACACTGGTTATGTTCAGATTATTGTACACTCATAAAGATATGATACTGTAGCTACTGTCAAAATATACATCTACATCTTATACAAAACTAAATACAAAAAAAAAATACAGTTGTAGTAATATACTGTAATTCTATCTCGATTCCTTCGATTTTATGAATAATATTTACTCTTCTGTTTACAATGATTCCTAACATTTTAGAATTCCCTTCGTCGTCAACATATCCAACTTATTCATTTGACAAACTATGGATCTTGTGAATATTAGGAATCCCAATTTGTTTCAGCTAATGATTAAACAGTGTACTAGTGGTAAATGGGGAGGGGGGGGGGGGATTATGTAGGGTTAAGGTAGGTTAAGTTAGCATTAGGGTGTTTTAATGGGGGGTAAGGTTAGATCAGGTAAGGTTTGGTTAGGTTAGGTTAGCATTAGGCTGTTTAATCAATCATCAAGTGAAATAAACTGGGGTTCCTAATCTTGCCAAAATCCCAGACTTCCTTCCTTCCTTCTCACCCCTCACTTGCTGAACTACTTGGAGGTGTCGTCACAGAACTTAGCCATCACGATATCCTTGGCAGACAGTCCACCACAGTCGTGAGTAGACCAAGTCACCTCTACTTTGTTGTAGACATTGAACCATTCAGGATGGTGGTCAATCTTCTCTCCCCTTAGTGCCACACAGCTCATCCAACCCCAGGCCTGAAAGACAAATTGAAGATTCATCTGAGGTTTGATTCTACTGAAGGCATTTTAAGTTTTTTTTTCACATATATATATACAACATTATGAGATTTTGTTTAATTATTTCATATTTATCGAACTCTGAGAACATAACCTATATAATGCAATCAAAACAAAATGTAAATCTATGATGCACACAACACAATAACATAAGAAACTGTATACAAAAACACAGAGCACACTGAACATTACTCTCCTTGATTCATATTTATAACTTGGTGTAACTGTACTGTATATACTGCACCATTGACCACAGTAAGAGGAATTGAACCAACTGCATATATACTGTACTCTACACATCTGAGAAATATACATATCTGGTATTCATTGACATTTTATTATGGTTCTGAAAGATGTGGTTTTAATACAGTACACCTAGTCATTCATCATGTACTTAAACAGCATATAACAGTAGTGAACTGAAGGGGGATTAAGACTATAGTGGTCTATTGTCTCAAGCTTCAAGTCTCAATGCTGTACACAATATTTAATGTAAGAATTTTATCACAATGAAAGAAAGGAAACAGCAGGAATTAATATACTGTATTTGGTACTGTATATATGAGAGATAGGTAAAATGTACAATAAGCACAAAATTATTAAAAAAAAAAACTGTGTGGACAAACTTTTTCAGAGTAAAACTTGTAAACCCCCGGAATAATCTGCCCTAGTGTTGTGACAGCACCGAGTACAAGCTCTTTCAAGACCAGACTTGGCCAACTCTGGAGCAGATACAGATACAGTCAGGAGCCAGTACATGTCCAGTACTTGCCATCAGTGCATAACAGAGACACGTCCGAATGCCCAAGTGGCTAATGAGCTGATCAGTGATGAAGAGGATAAAATGTGGTATACTGCTGCGAATTGTACGAAGACTTGTCCCACTGCACCATTTCTCATACTTTACACATTATGAAAACCATCACACAGTATTGCTGCCCCAAATGTTGCTTTCCATTCCTTCAACATAGTATACCTGTAAAATGTATGATCTTAGGTGTTGGGTCAGAGGGAAAACAGCCAAGAGATCAAGTTGAAGCAATACATAAAGGAGACAAAACGGAATGACACAGCTCACGCGTTACATAGATGGCAGCCAAAAAAGGCCATAAAAGTCCCTCCTGAATACTCGTGTCAACCAGCCAATCCTCAGAGGGCATTAAGTACTATAACCCACCTCATTGAAATCTTTAAAAAGGAACGTTTTCTTCATAGCATCACGACCATCTACCATCGTCCAGTTGTCATCCAGCAAAGGTTTCAGTTTCGTTTCCCGTTCTCCAGCTGTGAGTTTCTGAGCCTGGTGGTGTGGAGTTGATACACAGACAGTTAGATATTCATTCAGTAAAAGTGTTAAAAATATGTTCCCACTAGTATGTCCTAGTATGGAGCCAATGGTAAAGACTAGTAAGTTGATTTTAAACAAGGATAGCCCAACTGTATTTCCACTGTGGGTCCTTCATACTACAAACTTAACAATGAGGGCAGCGAATATCATCAAAAATACGGAACAAAATTGATCATATGGCAGGCAAATTACATAATACTGTAACCTGTAACATATTTCATCAGGTTGTTGGTCTGTTCTTCGTTACGACCTTTAATATCCAGTGTTAGTACAAGAGGAGACTGTAATAGCCAGAGAAAACCTGCCATGTTTGGTAGTGTCACAGTGGCTAACACCCTTCTCACCTCTGTACAGGGTCAAGACTTGAACCCAGGACACAGTATTGAGAGGTATTTACATTTCTACTGTAACACCAACATATCCAAAAAATAGGTTATACTGTACAGAACTGAGATATACTCTACAGAACTGGGATATACTCTACAGAACTGGGATATACAGGTACTCTACAGAACTGGGACATACTCTACAGAACTGGGATATACTGTACAGAACTGGGATATACAGGTACTCTACAGAACTGGGATATACTCTACAGAACTGGGATATACTCTACAGAACTGGGATATACTCTACAGAACTGGGATATACTCTACAGAACTGGGATATACTCTACAGCACTGAGATATACTCTACAGAACTGGGATATACTCTACAGAACTGGGATATACAGGTACTCTACAGAACTGGGACTGGGATATACTATATACTCTACAGAACTGGGATATACTCTACAGAACTGGGATATACTCTACAGAACTGGGATATACTCTACAGAACTGGGATATACTCTACAGAACTGGGATATACTCTACAGAACTGGGATATACTCTACAGAACTGGGATATACTACAGAACTGGGATATACTCTACAGAACTGGGATATACTCTACAGAACTGGGATATACTCTACAGAACTGGGATATACTCTACAGCTCTGGGATATACTCTACAGAACTGGATATAATAGAATGGATATACTCTACAGAACTGGGATATACTCTACAGAACTGGGATATACTCTACAGAACTGGATATACTCTACAGAACTGGATATACTCTGGCAGAACTGGGATATACTCTACAGAACTGGGATATACTCTACAGAACTGGGATATACCTATAGAACTGATATACTTCTACAAAACTGATATACCAACAGAACTGGATATACTCTACAGAACTGGGATATACTCTACAGAACTGGGATATACTCTACAGAACTGGGATATACTCAACAGAACTGGGATATACTCTACAGAACTGGGATATACAGGTACTCTACAGAACTGGGATATACTCTACATTACAGCATTGATATACTCTACACTTCAATAATGGGATGCACTGCACTGTATTACACTCTACAGCACTGAGATACACTGAACTATACTCTACAGCTCTGAGATATACAACATATATAGTGTACCGTATTATACATTTGGGATATACAAGTAGAGTAATGTAATTCCATACACACAAGGTTAATATTTCAACTTGGTGTAAATTACTCAGACTATAATACTTAACCTTATTTTCTTAGGTAGAGAGTAAAGTGAAAATAAGACTGGTCGTGATCTGTAATACTCCCGCCAGCCCGAGTCCCTCCTCTTCTCAAGGCTACCCATTGGGACTGCTACTGCTTATACATTATATATTCACTAAAACTATCTTTACAAGTTCCCTCAATGGTTTATAAGTGGTAGTGTACGTATATAATGCTGAGTGTAGTTAGAATGATATACAGAGTAGGTATACACACAGTATACATAGTGAAGGTATACATTGTATAGTAATGTAGGTATACAATGTACAGTGTGTAGGTATACAATGTACCGTACATAGAGTGAACGTTTATAGTACATACCCAACCAAGGCTAGACCATGACAATGTTTTTTCTGCCATTATTAAAACTTTATACTTTTGGTATTATTGATTCCAGGAAGGCTTAAGATTTGCCAATTTAACACCACCCAATGATTAACAGTTAAAATATAAGGTACTACTGTTACGGACAACACGAAACATATATATATATATATATATATATATATATATATATATATATATATATATATATATATATATATATATATATATATATATATATAACTGTAGACGTGTTACTTATAAAGTGCAGTATATGAGAAGAAAATAATGCTTAATACAACAATAACTAACACGGTAATTACTGACACCCATTGCAATCAAACAAAACCAACTGGGTATTAATATGTCATAAATATTCCTAATACTCATATAACAAATTGAACCACTACAGACTGATTCACTAAACTAATACCGCATAGTTACAATAAAGGTCATTATAACTCACCATAGTTGACAATTGAGAGATATATGATAAGGTGAAGAGAAAAACTACCACAGATAGTCTTCTAACCTCCTAGTCACTCCCCGGTTGCAACAGGTCGAGACTGGATTAGACTAGACTGAACACCCACCAACCCCCTCTTAATTTCCCATGAATTACCAGAGGCCACCACTACAAAACCCCCAATGTTAACACCACTATGAATCTATCGTTTTTACACAACAAACTTTACCAATTTTACACACAAATTTATTACCCTTAAGTATTTTTTTGGATTAGGTTAGAGCATTAGATTGGATAATTGTTCTGAAAAGCTAATTCTCACCAAAGTTCCATTCGTGGTATTTTCTAACATTGAACTCCTCTTTAAGCCGTCCCTCCATATTCATCCAGTCACCCTTTCGCCCAAAACCATTGATTTATCCACCTCTTTCTCGCCTTCACCCTTATGTAAAAAAAAAAAAAAAATCAATCAAACACCAAAGATCATAAATATAAGGAAAAAAGTAGTAATTTGATTTAGTTAAAAATGTAAAGTCACAGGAGAAGGTTGCGGACACACCTAGAGATCTTGGGGTGGGGAGGGGGTCAGTGTCCTCCCTTCCAGGTCCAAGTTGGTTGATTAGGCTGGGCTGATTCTATAACCGCGTGAATTCGAACATTTCTTTTACGATAGAATTGAATATCAAGGTTGAGTCTCAGTTTAACCAACAAGTTGGCATACGTTTGGGTAAACCTACTGACGAAGGAATTTAACTATGAAATCTATAATGGCTAAATTAAATGCCACTGCATATATATAACACACCCAAAAGCGGCATCAAAAATAACATTACTGACTACCTTAACGTTAAACTGTCAACGTAAATGGAAATGTTAGAAGTTTGTAATGAAGCGTTTGTGAACGATATACCTGCTGGGTTGATATTCAGGGGAGGGTTATCATAATGCCCCAATTCAGCTTGGTAAATAATGTTATTAATGTGATGTTAACCGTAGACCTCTATTATTGTGTGCTGTTTTCAAGTTTGCAGGCAATGAGTTCTCCAGATTTGAAATTCATCCTTTCTTACACCGCTGTTGCATTGGCTTCATAACCTGATAAGCCTCCCCAGTCATCGAATCCCGTCCCTTTTAAGTTTTGTTTCCCGAATTTCGTTTCACAGTGGTGGAGGTATAGACGTACCTTCAGCATCTTCCTCACAAACACTGACTACAGAGTGGGGTGACGGCTGTTCTCTGAGTTGTTCTTTTGTGATTCCAATCCTCTTCTATTACGTGTTTTTATATTCTACGGGTGTTTCATAAGCCTCAAAACTGTAAGGAAAAAATAAATAAAAAGTAGGAATATGCAAAATAAATACTAACATCCGAGATTTTATTACAATTATTTCTAATACTATTTCCAATATTCCTGAAATTTATGTTCTTAAATATAAATATAATAATCATATTTTATCTAACTCAGAAAGTAAAACACTGAACACTGCATCCAAGTTTAAATAATGATTTGTATGCAAGTGAGTAAAGTACAGTACAGTAGTGAGATAAATACAGCTAAGTTAACAAAGTGTAAGTTTCATTGTACATATTTCGTAAGATATAACTAAAGCATTAATATAACAAATACAAATTATTTTATTACATACCTGTATTTCAGCTTCACAACTACGATGAGGTAAGCTTCTTTTGTTGTTCAACAAGAAAAACAAACTTGAAGGCGAACCATTTTGATGTATAATTTCCCCTCTGTTCCATCAGGTTTCTTTTCCAGGGTCTTTCTCATTTCTGGAAACTGGGCCACCACGATTTTCGTCTTTTTCAACTTCTACCCTCTCCACCATTATAGCTGCTATTTCCCTCCACGCTTCATTCTTCTTTATATTTATTCTTATAGTTAATGTTCTTTTGGGTCCCATAATATTGGGTGGGAGCGATAAAGCCTATTAAGAGAAGGACATTTTCTTTCATCCATTCCATTACGTAATTACAGCTAAATGCACACAATAATCAAATTAATGAAGCTTGGAGACAGAGAACATCTCCCCTTGTTCTGTTAGTGTGAGTCAACTGGTGAAATGTTGCCAACCGCAGGGAGAGACAACACCACTGTTACCAACATGTTGCCATCAATGATTGCAATATTCCTTAAGATTTTACAGCTCATCAATAGGAAATATTATTTTGGGGCAGAAATGTTGTCCAAATTAATGTTCTCCTTAAATTCCAACTTGTTGCGATCTTTTACCTTTCACAACTGTTGACAGCATTGTTGTCAACACCACTTGTCACTGCGTTGGTGTGGACCGTTCGGTCTGATGCTAACCCCGCCCCCTTCTCCGAAAAAGCGTTAACTTGTTTGTGACTCTCGACGGTAAATATCATACTTCACCCAAAATTTCCCCAATCATATCTACAACAACATGTTAATATTAGCATCCTACAATCACACAAAATGTACAGTACTGGACGAACTACATTCACCAACAACTACTTTTCATTTGAATTCCTAAATATACACACAAATACTTCCTTTTTACTTTTTGACCTTCGCCACTGATCGGCTCGTTAGCCGCTTGGGCGGTCGGCCACTGCCCTGTTATTAACGCACTGGTAGCAAGTTCTGGCCCTTGACTATATCGGAAGCTTAACGTAATGCCCACAAGTTTAATGTGTAGATAATTATTTATTTGGGGAAACCAGTGGAATTCTAGGGCTGTCCTTGGCTGACTTAATGTTGAACATTTATTATTGTTTGTGTAACCTATACTGCCTCTGTACAGTATATGATGAACCATTGTAACTTGTATGACGATTTACTGATTAATATCTATCTGGGTTATATTTTTCAAAAATTTTATTCTTGATATGTTAATACTCAATCAGAATACGCAGTAATATATTATATCAGCAATAAATACACAATGCACTTGGCTGAGAATGAGTACAGACTGGCCTCCTAACCTAGGAGGCCATCCTCGGCTGTTGATGTTGATGAAGGTCAAAGTCAGAGAGGCCACCTCCTGCTGGAGTGTGGCCATAACGTGTCCTCACCTCACCACCCCTGATCACAGAGTGACAACACAATTCCAGCCCAGTAAGTGTATCCCATTACGTGTTGCTGGCAGTAACCTGGTGACCACACTCATCTGCCTGAAGCGAGAGCAAGACAATATTTCTTTTAATGAGTAAATAAATGAATACAGGCATCTTTATCTATCTAACTATATATGGGTAGCTTCAAATATAGGCTGGGCGGATATATGAGTGATAGGGGTTGGGTGTAAACGGCACTGCCCAATATGGACCACACAGGCCCGCTGCAGCTTCCTCCCTTATGTTGTTATCTAGCCCCACACGCCAGTCAATACAAAACCTGCCAGAGGTTTTAAAGTTCCAGCTACGGGCTCTCACCGTCACCTGTCTGCCTCTTGCTGTGGGTCCATCAGAGAACAGTCTTATATCTAAGTAATGAAACCAATTTATATTATAATTTTTGTGATATTTAACTTCGAAGTGACAAACATATATTTATGTATAAAATCGTACGTGGTACTATCTGCGCTTGAGACACTGCATCTTTAATTACAGTATTCAAGCCCTTGTGATTTCTTTGGTTCAATTCTATGTGTACAGCGGTGGTGGTAGATAATTAACATACCATAAAGTATACAACAAACTCTCCAGGCAGTCACTACTTAAATATAAGACTAGGTTATCCTCAGGTTGTTTGATGGCGAGTTAAACACAGGTTCACACACTGTCCTTCCACATACCCCTCACACCCATCTCTAAGCTGTATTCTAAGGGCCGATCTCTGTCTCCTTCCCTTGTGATTATTCTGTGCCTCTCATTCTCCCTCTCACAAGAGCTCATCTCCTTAGTGCTTTTTAGATATGACGATAGCATAAAGAATTCAACTCAGTTTACTCACCTAAAGAATAACCTCTAACACTTTCCTAACCTCATCCCAAAATAACATTAGGATGGTATTAATCTTTAGGTGAAATAATCTTTTTACTTTATCCTCTTCACTACTGATCGCCTATTAGCCGCTACGACGGGTCACGTCTCTGTTATAAAACCAAAGTTGGCAAGTACTGGGCATGCACTGGCTCCTGAATGTACCTGAACCTGCCCAGTGTTGGTCAAGTCTTGTCTTGAAAGAGCTCACACTCGGTGCCGTCACAACACTTTCTGGTAGATTGTTCCAAGAGCTCTCACAACTCTCACTCCGAAAAAGTTTCTGTCTCACAGTTTTCTGACTTGCTGCTTCTTCAATCTTGAGCTGTGACCCCTTGTAGGCGAGCGTCCGCCAGCTCCAAGTAAGGACACTCGACTGAGTAGTGCCCCTTGAGATGCTTATACACCTCAATTAGGGACGCCCCTGCCCGCCTGTAGTACAGGTATAAGCTAGGCAAGTTCAGGGCGCTTCCAATCTCTCCTCAGGGTAGTTGAGGTGCCGAAGTGCAGGCACCAGTCTAGTGGCCCTCCTTTGAACATTTTCATCCAACTGACAGTCCCTTAGGATATCTCGGGGACCAGACAGGGTGACAGTACTCAGATGGGGAAGCACTTCACTCTTGAAGATCGTTACTTAGGGACAGACCGCCTAGATATTCGGAACGACCTTCTTATAAGACCCAATAATTTATTTCCTGATTTACCTTCTTCATCCAGTTGGGACATATGATACGCCTCCCGTCAAGTTGGTACGCCCCAGGTGCATCCTCTTACACTTCATGACATTGAATCTCGGCAGCCATTTTCCTTTTTCTGACCATTCTGAGCTCACAGAGATCCTTCTGCAAATCCCCTTTCACAGTCCGCTTGGTTCTTGATTTCCCTCGAAATAACTTGGAATCATCGGCAAACATTTGTATAGAGGAGGTACGCCAGGCATGTCATTTATGAAACAAACAAACAACAAAGGGACATCTAATACACTGCCTGTGGTACCCCACTTGTGGCAGTTACACATGATGATTTCTGTGACATTAATCAATCACCACACACTCCTGCGTCATGTAGAAAGTCTTCTATCCATGCAAGGACATTTCCCCGAATTCCGTACTCCTTCCAGTTTGATTTTCAGCC